GCAAAATCTGAAACCGATTCATTGGTTAAGTTAACCCGTCGTATTTCATCTTTTATGCTTGACGACATGTTGGCTAATTTGTGTTTCAAAAAGACATTAACATTATTTAAACGATCATTGTCACTTTTAATTATATTTCCATTTTCTATTCTTCCACTTTTTACATCTTTCTTATTAACTATGTTATATAACGCTCCATGAATATTAGATATTGATACATCTATTTGTTTAGACACGTCTTCGACTAAACTACTTCTTTCATGTGTATCCTCAAAAGGCTTATCACGAAGAAAATCTAATGACAATCGTCCTATATTGTCATCACTTTTACTTCTGTCAATGATTATAAATTCATCCGATGCTCCTTTACATTTAGCATTTTGGAGATTATTAGCTTTAACACCAAAAGATAAAGCACTTTCAACTGCAATCACGGTGCAATCAATGGTATCTTTAACGTCTGTTACGACGTCAGTTATGAACTTTTGAAAACCATTTTGTAGTGACGACATAGTGTTTTGAAACTCATCAAAGAAGGATCCGTGTACCTGGAATTAAGTAACGTTTTACCTATGTATGCCATATATTATAATAAATTAATGATATATCTTAATAATACTTACTTGTACTATTAACACTAAAAAAATCGGAGCTAATTTCATATTGAATTAACAATTTAAAGATAACAAACACAAACTTTCACATGTAGTCTTGCGGTATAATGAGACTGACATGAGAATTTCTTGCTACAGAGATTCTTACAATAAAATTGTATTTACGTGTATTTATTCAAACATCGACGCGTTATACGATTCCGTACACCTGTTTCAATATTTGCAGTCTCATTGTCATTGGGCAGTTACACTTGGTGCAAAGAATTCTTTGTTTTCGACTAGCGACCCGCCGCGGCTTTGCGTGGATAGGATTTTTTTTAAGATTTATGATAATCAAAGATTTATTCTTTCCTCTTCATTTATGCTATCAATTTTTCGTTTTTTTTTTCAATACAAAAAAACTCCAAGTAATTCGTATAAAATAAAAAGCTTAGATCACTGCTAGGCATTGATCTCTATCCATTTATGAAGTTTCACTACAATCAGTTCACCCATTCCGAAGATAAGTTCGGACAAAATTTTAAAGGTTATTAATGTCTTAATAACATCTCAGTATAATATATGGCAGTTATTTCGAAATTACTGACAGACACTTCAATTTTATTTAAATGTATAGACGATGTTTGTTGGTTAAATAAAACATAATGTAAAGAACGTTCATTTAATTCATTTTAATCCCTTAAATTAAAGAATATCACAAACATTATACTAAGAGCTTTTGTCACAATGAGCAGAGTTGAGACAACCACAAAATACTTAAAAATGTAGGTTAATTCATTAGTTTAAAATAATATGATTAATAAATTTGACTGATATAAAAACTTAAATGAAATCATGGTTCGTTACTTGTGACAAATCGTCTTAATCTACATGACTGTATATTTTAGTCAAATATAACATAAAATTATTGTCATACGATTTTGTATGTTACTTACATGTACGAGACCGTCATTGCTCGAAATTTGAAAATCATACAATAATTAAAATACTGAACGTTCCACCCCTATTTCAATGTCATAGGTAAGTAAAATAATTTATAAAATTATATGTTAAAAATAGAGACAGTGTTAATATTTTGATTATCTACGATTATCATTAAGAGTACAGTTGAAAACAGTAAAAACAGGTTATCTAAAAATATTTTTTTTATCTTAAAAATTACCTTTTTGGCTAAATAAATAATAAAAGTTATAGATCAAGGTCCCACACTTTTTTTAAGTTATCATAATTTAAAGCAGACATTGAAAATAATTGCGGGGTTAAAACTTCGGCTTTGGTTCCAGCCCAAACTAATACACTCTGTCACAAACTATGCTCGCATGATAAGAATAGGACTATTTAACTGACATTTAACTTAGCATTGCGCACTACCTTCATTTGCTTTGTATAGGATATGTAAAGATAGTTTTGATTATTAAACATTTTATGCTGTGACTCTCATTGTCTTGTATTTTTCTTACATTATTATAATATATAACAAATGATAGCGTTTCATGATGTTGAGTTGTCATGAAAAGTGACGTTTAGAAAGCGAAGTTGTCACTAAAGTAAATTCCATTCTTAACCTGCTCACATATTGAGTCAAAGGATATTTTTATAAAGGCTGAAAATTTCTTATTATAATATTTTGAGCTGCCTGCCGAAATATAAAACAGATTTGTCTTGTTGTTTCTAGTTTGGCACACTATGAGCAATACGCCGATATTTCGTTTATCACATACCATTACACAACAAATCAATAGTATAACTTCAATCATATAATATATCCCTAGTCCTATATAATATTGCAATAAAGTGGTGATAAGAATTTAGAGATTCTTATTGAAATTAATAAGTTGCAAAATATGGCAATACTTTTGGTACTATAGTCAAATAAAATTTGTCAAAAATATTCAACACTTAGGAGAAAAATAATATTTAAATCATAAAAAACAAATTGTCTGAAAAACGCAAGCTCGAAAAAATACCGCGTGGAATGTAAAAAATGCATCCACATTTCAATAAATAAATTTGACTACCAAGATAGTTCTACAAAATTCTGTGTTATGATGGTGCCATTTATATTTATTTATAGCCCAAGCAGAAATATAAAAACCTTCACCATAATGAATAACTTCATAAAAGTACTGGCAAAATTACCTGTTCAGCACTGATAATATCCAAAGGATTGGTTGACTTCCGTTAAATAATATTGTGAATTGGTTTCTCAACAGCAGAAATTTGAGGGCTGTTGCGTGAAACTATTTATACAGATTTAAGATTTTAAGGTGTCTAGTCCCTCTAACAAGAATAAATAAATTAATAATGAAAAAATATTGTAAAGATAAATCGTAAAAACCGAGCAAAGCAGGATTTTTATGTTGCATGCAAAGAAGCACTTTGTTTCGCAGAAAATTACTTGAGGCTCTAGATCAGTCTCGTTAGGTAATTTTAATCATAGCAGCACAAGATGTGCTGCTTAATCCTAGCAGCACATCTTAATGACCCAGATTTTTTTTATTTTTCTGATCTGGCTATAAATATTTTTTTTTACGTAAAACATTATATTCATATTTTTACTTTGACATAATTTGAACATTTTATTAAAATTGGCAGTAGATATTCATAAAACTTCAAAAAATAACTTAAAATATAAAGAAATACAATTTTTTATACTACATGAAAATATTTTTATCTAAATTATATCATGCTACAATAATTAATAGTAAACAGTTTGACGTCTTACAATATAAATACGATATTGCTTATAACGATCAAGTTGTGTAAAAATTTTCTTAAAATCTAGACTAAATTCATTTTAACAGCATATTAATCTATATTTAATATGATGATATGTCGTCTAGAATTGCTTCGAAATTAAGTTTTTACAAGTAACAACTTTAGCGTTGACGTTCTTATAGCTTACTCTGTAATATAATACAAAGAAATTATAAAGCATAGACTGCTAATGATTACGTTTTTACCAATTTTAGGGGTAGTAGTTTAAAGCAGCACACAGCGATATGAGTGATATTTTACATATAAATTGTACTGTATGAAATGTACAAAATATTTTTTTAAAACGTGACAAGGCGACTTTTGCGGCATAGCAACCAACACATTAACTTTCTCTCACTACTAGTCACGACTAGCAGGCCCTCCGCTGCATTAGGGGTCTATGCAATTTAAGGTCTTTGGTAAATGTATACATGTATTTAATAAAAAGTAAAATAAATATTTGTGACAATTTATACGGTGACAGTGATTGAACTGTGCTCTCATAACGTAATAATGTACATAGAAAAGAAATACAGTGGATTTCATTTATTACAACCTTGGTTGTAGCGACCATTTGCCTATAGCGACGTTAAATCTAAGTCCCTTGAATTTAAATAATATTGTAGTACAAAATTCATGTGGCTATAGCGACTTTGGATGTAACGCCGAGTTCGGATGTAACGACTGTTTTAAATGAATCATTTGTAACAAATTCCAAGAAATCCCGTGCAGACATTGCGACCGGAGTCGGCCGTCAAAGACACAAAGATTTCTTTCTTTCACAAACATTTCTTATCTTTTGTTTACATCCACACAGATGGTCTGTAAGTGTGGAGACCTTTACCTTTTGTTTATAGATATCAGCTAAGTAGGTAGAGAAGCGTGTACGTTTCGGAGTTAAATTTGTGGTTCAGTTACAAAGTCATTTACTGAGTAGCAACTGCAATGTATTGAATTTGTTACCTTTGCCTGTAACGATTTCCGGATATAACGACGAAAATAGAGTGGTCCCTTCATCGTCGTTATACCCGAAATCCACTGTATCTTTAATTCATTTTAAAAATTACTGAAAAAATAAGTTAGGTTTTAAATATTGATCAAAAAGGTATATCTCTTACAACTAACAGTTATGATTAGCACAATAATATTAAATTCATATCCATGAAAAAATTCTATAAAATTAGCCAATGTTATAAATTAAAAATAAATAAAGTAAAGAAAGTTTGGAGGAATTAACTCAATAAACAACATTTATACACATATTTTCCCAAGCATTTCTTAATATCTGTTTTCTTTTTTACCTCACGTGAGTAACTTTTTTGGTTTGTATACTATGATATTATCGAATATAAATAATTCAAATGAGAAAACACTATGTAATGTAATTTTGATAGCATAGAAATATAATTGTAAATAAACTCTTGCTTTTGTCGAAATGGGGACGATGTATGATTTTCAATGAAGCTTCATTTTCACTTCAGGTCGAGTCACTTACAAAACACATATAAAAATATTCTTTAATAGTTTCTTTAAACAACGGTTAATTACCGATAATTTTACTAATTTGCACTAATAACAGTGCAATAGTAGTATTTACGGGCTGTGGAAACTTTATCCACTCTTCATGCATCAAGTAGATGTATCGTTTTCGTCGTCACTAACACCGGAGGCCCCCTCTTCCCTCTTGGGAGGTATTGGAACGTTTAAAATCTCATCTTCTCTTTTCGGTGGTATTGGAGTGATATTTAATTTCGGCAAGGGAGGTATAGGCGGAGTCGGTGTGTCATTTCGGGGTGCGAAACCGTTTTGCGAGTCTGTTGGCGTGAAGCCATTGTTCATTCTTTGATAATGAGGCTTCCATGTATTCGCCGGCGGTGTGTAATTCAGGTGATCGTATTCCATTTCTAAAATTAAAATTTCTTTTATGAAATGAATAATTACCAACAAAACAATATAATACATAATCAACTAAAATGACATATATTCATATTTAACTTAATGCGTTCCTTAAACTTAAAATCAGTATAAGTTAAAAAAAACTAAAGAAATATAGTATATCAAAACTGTACTAGATAAACGAAACACTGTAATAGTAAGCAGTATCCTTATAAAAAATCATAATTTATTGATTCAATGGCAGCATTGTTCCGTTACTCAAGATTCTTGAAGGAACTAACTTTTATTTACATGACTCGAAAGTGGCTAGTGTCAGCAGTTCTTATATTATTTATTCCATTGCATAGGAATAACAGTGTCAACTGAACTTTTAAGTCGCTCAGTTTCTCTCTTTGTATAATTTTAATTACATATACATAGCTTGAATATTAAATAGCCATACATACCATATCCTTCCTTGTGCTTAATTTCGTCGTATACATGATCCAATTTGTCTTCGTCGATGCAGTGGTAGAGGTTGGGATTAGTTGCATCCGCATCCTTGTTCTTCAGTGTCGAGAACGGATCGTAACCTTAAGAAATATATATTACTAATAAGGTAAAATGTAAATACTATAGTAAATTCACGATGCTTTCATTCAACATCATAATATCGTCATATTAATTAGTACCTATTTCATCCTACCTACTTATTATGATTAAAAACTACAAAAATTAAAATATATATATATATATATATATATATATATATATATATATATATATATATATATATATATATATATCTGTAAGTACGTAAGTAGGTCAGTAGTAAAAGTAATCAGTAAATTAGCTGGCACAATTTTTAATTTTTTAGGCGACAATGTCTGTGCAACTGTTTGAACATAGGCTATTAAATGTTTGACATTGGCTTTTGTGTAATAACGCGGCGACATTGGCAGTGATGAACGTCAACAAACAACATAATTTATCCAAGCGAAAATTATGTCTTGAAGAGCTAGTACACAGTGGGCGCTCGGCGTCGCGTTTGGCGCGCGTTGATAGCGTGCATACACCGCTCTCAGTATGGCGTTCGACGAACGTTAGCAGGCGAATCCCAAATAGCTGGTCGCTTTTGGAATTCATCGATAAAGAAATCCGTATCAAAATGCTCACGAGTCACGAGTCAAAATCAAAATGATCTCCATTTTTGACAACGTATGTCCACTCTACATGAAAACGCGCGATTAAATGTAAAAGAAAATGGCGGTCCATACATCTAAAAGTGCGCTGCTAACGAGCGTTCTAACCAAAATCTGACAGCGCGCGTTTGACTTGCGCTTGAATATGTAGAAGCGCGTGTTGGGATATGTACCGATGTATCGTACTAGAAGGTTTATAAAAACGCGCCTTACCAAAGCACGCGCTTCAAAACGCCTAATGTGTACTCACTCAAACTATGCCAAATCTCCAACTTCCGTGTGCGCAATATATATAAAAAGGGGTACCACGTTTTCCTTTTACGTATTAATAATTGATATGGTTACTTAATATCACTGTTGATATCGCGCTTACCAAACAAGCGGAAGCCTCCGACAAACAAAGATAGACATGCTCGATTTATTGTAAGAACAACGTACTCTCGCACACAATCACGTAAAATTATTTACAATCAACAACATAGTTTAAAGGTGTATATGTGTGAAGAAAAGAGAAGAAAGATGTGTAATGTGTATGTGATTGCGTGTCAAGGAGTTGAGCATGGCTTCGGCATCACTTGAAATGTACCGCAGTATATATAATGAAAAGGATCGTTGTGTGCTTATTTTTTTTTTGTTAAAATAGGTTATTCCGTTTATCCACCCTAAAACATTCACCCTAAGGTAATAAATTACACTAACATAAATATAATTATATTAAATATATTCTTTATTATTAGTGTAATAAGGTAATATACATCTCAGGGTGGATTTTTTAGTATCGATAAACAACAACCCGTTTTAATGAGTACGGAATATATTGATATAGATTATCTTATATCCAGCTCTAACTCGGGACGATTAACAGCCTGTAACTGTCTAAATGTTGGACACTGGTATGACAAATCCTTTCACGTCACGCTTAACAGGGATGTCGGCAGTGGTAGATATCTCGTACCTTTAACGCTACGTGCCGTCACCGCTTATAGTATTTAGGTTCATCAATCCGCCATCAATCGCAAGCAATGAGATCTTTAAGCATAACCCGCAGTCGCCTTTTACGACTTTCGTGGGGCGAAATGCAATGACGAATGCATTTTTCGAAATCGGCTGATCCTCATAAGTAATGAATAACATACACACCACACAAGTGATGTTATTGGAGAGAACCGTGGCATATTCACTGAACCCCAATTATGTATAAATTATATGTCAAGTTCAAAATTACTTTAGTGTTGGAGACTGAGCTTTTAAAATACAAAGGGAATGTCACAGACGTAATGTTACACTGAAACTGTATAAAGCATCCTAGGTCCTACAATTTTAATTGCACACACACACACACACACAAATATACAACAACGTCCAACAATCATGGTCACCAGTGTACAGCGCGCCGATTGTCATTAATTAAATATAAAAACGCGCGCGCGTGTGCGTGCGTGTGTTAGTGTCCATGTCCGTGTGCGTGTGCTTGTCCATGTCCGTGTGCGTGTCCGTGTGCGAGTGCGTGTGCGTGTGCGTGTCCGTGTGCGTGTGCGTGTCCATGTCCGTGTGCGTGTCCGTGTGCGAGTGCGTGTGCGTGTGCGTGTCCGTGTGCGTGTGCGTGTCCATGTCCGTGTGCGTGTCCGTGTGCGAGTGCGTGTGCGTGTCCGGGTGCGTGTGCGTGTCCATGTCCGTGTGCGTGTCCATGTGCGAGTGCGTGTGCGTGTGCGTGTCCGTGTCCGTGTGCGTGTGCGTGTCCATGTCCGTGTGCGTGTGCGAGTGCGTGTGCGTGTGCGTGTGCGTGTCCATGTCCGTGTGCGTGTGCGTGTGCGAGTGCGTGTGCGTGTGCGTGTCCATGTCCGAGTGCGTGTGCGAGTGCGTGTGCGTGTGCGTGTGCGTGTCCATGTCCGTGTGCGTGTGTGTGTCCGTGTGCGTGTGCGTGTCCATGTCCGTGTGCGAGTGCGTGTGCGTGTGCGTGTCCATGTCCATGTGCATGTGCGTGTCCGTGTGCGTGTACGTGTCCGTGTGCGTGTGTGTGTGCGTGTCCATGTCCGTGTGCGTGTCCGTGTGCGAGTGCGTGTGCGTGTCCGTGTGCGTGTGCGTGTCCGAGTGCGTGTGCGAGTGCGTGTGCGTGTGCGTGTGCGTGTCCATGTCCGTGTGCGAGTGCGTGTGCGTGTGCGTGTCCATGTCCATGTGCATGTGCGTGTCCGTGTGCGTGTACGTGTCCGTGTGCGTGTGTGTGTGCGTGTCCATGTCCGTGTGCGTGTCCGTGTGCGAGTGCGTGTGCGTGTCCGTGTGCTTGTGCGTGTCCGAGTGCGTGTCCGTGTGCGTGTCCATGCGCGTTTCCGTGTCCGTGTCCGTGTGCGTGTGCGTGTCCGTGTGATGTCCGTGTCCGTGTCCGTGTGCGTGTGCGTGTCCGTGTGCATGTCCGTGTCCGTATACGTGTCCGTGTGCGTGTCCGTGTGCGTGTCCGTGTGCGTGTCCGTGTGCGTGTCCGAGTGCGTGTCCGTGTCCGTGTCCAGGTGCGTGTGCGTGTCCGTGTACGAGTGCGTGTCCGTGTGCGAGTGCGTGTCCGTGTCAGTGTCCGTGTCCAAGTGCGTGTCCGTGTGCGTATGCGTGTCCGTGTGCGTATGCGTGTGCATGTGCAGGTGCGTGTGCGTGCGTGGGTGCGTGCGTGCGTGCGCGGTGTGTGTGTATCTTTCGTATGACAACCAAAATTGTAGTACCGTCGATTGCTTCACACATTTTCTATGTTATTCTTGATTTTATCAAAATTATACGCACTGTCTGTAGAGCTCGTAGCAGTCATTCTCAATTTCTCCATAGTTGCATTATTCAATTTACTACCCGAGCCTAAATTGTTGAAAATTTGCGTAGCGTTGTTTAAGAGAGTGGTGCTGTCGTCGCCTCGAGTCGAGCCTTGGAACGAATACACTGGATTATCGAAGTGTTGTTGCTCTGAAAAGACATATAAGATATTATTAATATACCAGAGATAATTGTACCTGGTGATAATTATTTTAACATACATTTATTACCAATCATGCAACTGGTGTAAAAATATATTGTTAAAGCAGATCTCGGCCGATACAATCTCTAATCGTACGAAAGTTAAACAAGAATAACCTATTGTAAAGTTGTTTACGGGAAGGCATAAAAAAATCGAAGGATGAAAGAAAAATTTGCTTGTCAGACGTCACATTTAAAAATCATCTCCATGAGTTATAATTTTAGGTTGCGCCGTGTAATGGTAGTGTAAAATAATCCATCGCCTAAATTTTCTTGCAACCCAACTACACGGTGCAACCTTGGGTGTCGTAGGTATATATTTATTTAAGCATTAACTGTTTTTCTGAATTTAAAATCAGTTATTGCAAACAGTAAGAAATACTGTAATGTTCTGATTTTAAGGATTCATAATTAAAAAAGTTAAGTTGTTAAGAACTCACTACATTTTTATTATATGACTTATTCTAGCGATACATTCTTAAGTACATTGCCAGGATTTTATGTTTTCTTTTACCTATTTGCTCAGTCCACTTCGATACTGTTTTAGCGTTCAGAGCCGTCAGCAAAGTATGGCTTAATTAGCCACTTAACGTAAGTAAGCTTATTTGTCATTTAAATGTTAAGACTAAGATATTTACCATTAGGAACGGTTTTATTAACATTAGAACATTGGTTATATAGGGGTGTATTACTATAAAAAATGTCACAAAGATGCACAAAAAATAATGATATAATTTGACAAGAAAAGGCAGGTGCAAAGACAATAAATAGCAGAATAGCAGAGCAATGCTGGAGAGTATGTAAGATGAGTGTTACCGGGCTGCTGGTTGGGGTCGGCGGTGTAGTGCACGTGCGCGATCTCGCGCTTGAGGTGGCGCACGCGGCGGCGGTAGTGCAGCAGCACCAGCACGGCGCCCGCCGCGCACGCCAGCGCCAGCACCACCATCACCGCCGTCAGCCCGCCGCTGGACGAGCCTGCGGACAACGTGCCATGTACCATGTCTTGCCATTCCTCACCATATAACAATTATCTTCTCATAAAAAATATATATATTAAAAAAAATATTACACACTACACCACTGCTGAAAATTCGTTATTATTATTTTTATTCATTATTATTTTTATTTTTCGTTTAGGTGAATTGTATAAAAATGTTTTCTGTGTTTCTTGAGTATGTCGGTAGTTTATTTAATTTTTTTACTTGTCGTGCACTAAAAATAATCCAGATTAAATTAGCAACAAACATACACAGGTACTATTATTAATAGTCAAATGTGTCATTTCATTGTAATAATTATAAGAAAATATATACAGATTCATTATTAATTTCAAATGGTACATGATTTAAACAGTACTATTGTATAATTTAAATAAATAAAAGTATATTTACTACAAACCGTTATGTAGATCCAACATTTTAGTATTGATACATTTTTACATTGATTGTTTTATTATTCTCTTTCTCTTTCATTTGTCCGTAAAAATTCTTTGCTCATATTGGATCATTGAACAGATACTTTATTTCATTACTGATTTTAATGTTATTTTATTAATATTTTATCCTAATTTAATATTCCTACAGTATAAAGTAATAACATCTACATATATACAAAGAAATAAAAATCAAGTGTCTGTTTGTAATGTCAAAATTACAAGTCTTTACTTAATGCATATGAAAGTAGATACGGTACTAACAACAAAAAAAACAGTTCTTAAAATTTTATCTGTTTGTCTGTTTGTTCCGGCTAATGTCCGAAATGGCTGGATCGATTTTGGCGGGAATTTAAATGTCAGATAGCTGATGTTATAAGGAGCAACGTAGTATTCTTTTATTTTAGAAAAAGGATTAGAAATCCGCACAGAAAGAAAATTAGACTCATGAAATCAAATCGTAATAAATTCCACGAGGGCGGAGTCGCCGGATGCAGCTAGTTATACATAAGATAATTCCAATCGCTGTAACTTTTAAGTTTAATAATATTAAAGAACATAAAAGCTCGGTTAAATACAAAGTGATAAAAATCTTAAAATCCACATATACATAGCAAACATAGAGCACAACTTATTCAATCAGTAATGCAAAAATTATCTAATTAGTAAGTTTTATAAATGTATAGTAAAAAAATAACTTGTCATAATTACCAGAAACTTGATCAATGTGAATGGCGTCACTAGCATGTATGTCGCAATGTTCTCCGATAAAACCGCGGTGGCACACGCAGCCCTTAACGGGATCACACACCCAGTTGCCCACGGAAGAACAATTGCAAGGCTCCATGCAATGATCGCCAAAATAGCCCTCGGGACAAACTGGAAGTTAGAAGGAAGTAATATTAGTATATTTTCAAAGAAAAGAAACAGAAACTTTTTATTCAATATAGATTATAAATAATACTTATTGAAAGTCACTCTTTTGTTTGATTACCACTGGTTCGAAAAAAACCTCTGTCCTGGGAAGAACCAGCAAGAAACCCACCGGGACTTTTTTTTTTAAATAACAGCTTACAATCATGATGTTACAAAAATTAACAACACATCAAATTAGAAATAGCTTGGTAGCGATCACCTCATTTCCAGGGGTTATTATCATCCATAAATTCCTTAATATTATAATAACCCTTTTTATACAAACTTAGTTTAATAGTTTTTGAACTTTGAGCAGGTTAAATTTTGTATATTTTCTGGAATTTTGTTGTAAAAGCGTATAGATCGCCCCAAGAATGAATTACTGACCCGACGGAATCGAGTAACTGGTATTTACAGTATTTACAGACGTAACGAGTATTTACAGAATGAATATCACTTATTTTTGTAAAACTACTTTTATTTTTGTGTACGTACATTACATTTTCATAAATGTATTGAGAGGCCAAAGTTAATATATTAATTTCCTTAAATTTTTGTCGTAGCGACTCTTTAGGCTTTAAATCATAAATTGCTCTTATGGCCCTCTTCTGTAAAACATATATAATTTCAGTGTCAGCTGCGTGTCCCCATAATACCATACGACATTATGCTATGGAAATAGCTAAAGTAAATTAGTCTAGCTGTTTCAACACTGGTAAGACTTCTAATCTTTTTTACAGCATATGCTGCAGAACTAAGTCTGCTTGCTAGTTTTGATATATGGCTCCATTGAAGCTTCGCGTCTAGTGCGATTCCAAGAAAATTGGTGGTATCTACAAGACTCAGTTTCTCCCCATTTAAAATTACATTAGTATTTAATTGTTTGACATTTGAAGTCATGAATTTCATACATTTCGTTTTAGTGCCATTTAAATGCAAATTATTAACATTGAACCAATGTACTAATTTAGATATAGCATTATTTACTTCGTCATATTTTAGTAATTGTCGACTTACTTTGAAAATTAAAGAAGTGACATCTGCAAATAATACTATATCATGGTTATCCCCTACTATGTAAGGTAAGTCATTAATGTATACAAGAAACAGAAAGGGGCCGAGAATTGAGCCTTGAGGCACGCCCATTTGTACCATCGATCCGGAAGAGCTCATATTATTAATGACAACTTTTTGCGTTCTCTTACTTAAATATGAAATAATTAATTTAAGAGCATCACTTCTTACACCGTAGTGTTGAAGTTTCCTGATTAATGTTTCATGGTGAACACAATCGAAGGCCTTAGATAGGTCACAAAATATACCCAAAGCATCCTGTGAATTCTCCCATGCATTAAAGATATATTCAATCAGCTCAACACCGGCATCAGTTGTCGAGCGACCCCTTGTGAAACTAAATTGATTGTTATGAAGTAAATTATTTATATTAAAAAAATTTTACATTTGATCAAGAACAATTTTTTCAAAAATCTTACTAAGTGTTGGTACTACAGAAATAGGTCTAAAATTGGCGGGGTCTAATGTACTACCAGATTTAAATAAAGGTATTACTTTACTATGCTTCATTAAATCAGGAAACACACCAGATTCGATACTAGTATTAAAAATAATAGCTAAATGAGACGCGATTGTATCTATTATAGACGCAATAACTTTAACGGAAATCCCCCACAGATCCGCAGTTTTCTTAACATGAATAGTTTTAAAATATTTTACAATATCTTTTGATGACAATTTATGAAATGTAAAATTCTTTGTACACGCATTTACATTTTGTTTAAGTAATGATTCGGCGACGGCAGGAGAAGAATTCAGTGACTTAGTCGTCAAGATCGGAATATCAGTAAAATATTTCTCAAAAACCATTGCTACGCCCTGATCTGATACAGTTAATTTGTTGTTAACACTTAACTGGTAATTTGAATTGCGAGAGTTGATCTGGTTGAAAGATATTCAATTACTATTTTTAAACATCGTTTTTATTAATAAACGTCGGAGCTTATCTTCTCTTCTCTTTTGCACATCGCTCATTGTATGAATGGTTTATACGAGTACGAGATATGTGTAGTTATAGTACAAAGGATGAGTATGAATGCACAAATATTTCTGATTACAATTACCTAGAACTCAAAAATCATCCCGGTTCGCTTGGCAGGCGGTTTTATTAAGCAATATATGGGAGGCCGATGTCCAGCAGTGCACTTTTTAAATGCTGTGGTGGATGGTGCATACCCTTACTAGCAACGGGTCATTTGATTTTCGTCAGGAGGTACACGGCATCCACTTAATATCAGGTGGAGTGTGTTCGTTTGTCACTTAGTCCTTTACAACATATGCGATTATTATTTTTTATAGGAGAGGGGGCAAACGAGCGTGCGGCTCACCTGATAGTAAGTGACTACCGCCGCCTATGAACAACCGCAACACCACTGGAATTTCAGATGCGTTGCCGGCCGAAAAAAGGAGTAGGCTCTTTTCTTGAAGGTCCCTAAGTCGTATCGGTCCGGAAAAATCGCTGGTGGTAAACTATTCCATTGGGATTAATCCGAACAATTCCTCAGAGCGCTCCCCATGGTAAATGCGAAAGAAAATGCAAAGAGATGCAACATCTCTTCGCAGTGCCAATGAGTCGAGCCGATCGGAAAGGAATCGGTCGTCGACGATTCGAGCCGCTCTGCGCTGGATGCGGTCAAGTGTAAAGAGCTGGCACTGGGGAGCCCCAGCCCAGAGATGGGAACAGTATTCCATGTGAGGCCGAACCTGCGCCTTGTAAAGTTGCAGGCGTTGAGCTGGCATGAAATACTGTCCCGCTCTGCTGAACACGCCAAGCTTTTTAGAGGCCAATTTGGCCTTCTCTTCCAAGTGACCACGAAACTGCACGTCACTCGATATGTCGACGCCGAGGATTCCGATACTGGCTGAGGCAACAAAGGGGAGTACCTTGAAACTGAGGAGATACGACAAAGGGGTTCTTTTTAGAGGTAAACGCGCAAAATTGTGTCTTCTGAGGATTAAACTGGACTAGATTTAGTCGCCCCCAATCCGAGACTTTGTCCAGCAAAGACTCGACTTCAGACACAAGTTCCGGTACTCGGTGACGTTTTCCCGAGAAATATTGGCATGGTCGGTGTATAGAGCATCACCAGTGCTGTCATCCGCATAGCAATGAATGCTACCGGCTTGCAACATATCATTGATATGCAGAAGAAACAGCGTTGGTGATATCACGCAGCCTTGTGGAACACCAGCGTTAATAGGCTTGTAGTCGGAGCATGCACCGTCTACAACGACCTTGATGCAAGAAAGCAGGTGATCCAATTGCATAATTTCTCGGGAAGCCCATAGGAAGGGAGCTTCGAAAGAAGCGCTTTGTGCCAAACCCGATCGAAGGCCTTCGCAATGTCCAAACTAACGACCAATGCCTCCCCTTTGGACTCTACTGCCTCCGCCCATCTATGAGTTAAGTAGACCAGAAGATCACCAGCTGATCGACCCCGACGAAAACCGTACTGGCGGTGACTAATCAGCTGGTGATCCTCAAGGTATCGCATGAGGTGGCAGTTTATAACGGATTCCATTATTTTGGAGAACAAGGGGGTGATGGCGATAGGCCTGTAGTTGGACGGGTCTGAGCGGTCGCCTTTTTTAGGGATCGGGTGGACAAAAGCTGTCTTCCATGATTTCGGGACTACGCCTAGGGAGTAGGAGTACTGGAAAAGACGCGTTAGAACCGGTGCCAACTCCGGAGCACACGTCCTCAGCACAATTGGGGGGATTCCGTCTGGCCCACTCGACTTGTGGATGTCAAGGGAGAGGAGTGCTCTGCGAACCGAGCGCTGTGAGAACCGCACATCCGGCATGGAGCACTCACACCGCGGGATGGTCGGCGGTGTGTTCCCCCCATTATCAACAGTCAAGTTGGACGCAAAAAGGGAGCCTAAAAGGTCGGCTTTCTCTTTTGCGTCGTGGGCCAGTGAGTCGTCCTCGCTGTGCAGAGATGGTAGTGATGGCTTTACAGAAATTCCCTTGGACAGCCTTGGCGAGAGACCAGAATTCACGGGTTCCCGAAGGAAGGCGAACTAGTTTCTCGCCAATTCTGCCTATGTGCTCTGACTGCCTTGGCAATAACTCTTTGGAAGGACCTGGAGGCAAAGTTATACTTCTTTTTAAGTATGCTGGTGTTTACATCCCGAGTCGCCGAAGCCGCAGCTCAGACTTGATAACACTCCTGCTTACTGCGTAAAGCAGTCTTACAGGAGCGACCAAACCAAGGCTGAGATCTGCCTCCGATGGGTACCACAGATGATGGAATAAATAGTTCCATTCCCTGTAGCACCACATCAGTGACAGAGTCAGCAACAGCGCTGGGATCATCCAGCGAGAAGCAAACCCGCCCCCATGGATAGGAAGCAAAGAAAGACCGCATTCCGTCCCAATCCGCCGACCTGTAATGCCAAACAGGGCGGCAACCTGCAGAACGCAACCGCGAGGGGAGCGTGAGTGGCACCATACTCCGGATCAGACAATGGTCCGAAGAGCTGAGAGGGGCATCGACGGAAACCTGATATCCGTCCGGATGAGAGGACAGCAGAAGGTCCAACAGGGAAGTTGTATGATCCTCAACATCTGGAATCCGCGTAGGCGAAGTAACCAGTTGTGTCAGACCATATGCCAAGGCAAAGTCATAAACAGATCTCCACGCATGATCGGTTAAACGTGAACCGAGCCATTAGGCGTGGTGGGCGTTAAAATTGCCAAGGATCACGATCTCTGCGGATGGGACCTGTTGTAGCAAGGAATCTGTAGCCATTTGGACGTGGTCGATGAGTCGGTCTGTTTCGGCATTACCGCTATGGGACCTAAAGAGGCACACGTAGACGCGCGGATGGTCGTCGCTGTCTACGCGTAGCCAAAGGATGGTCAGGTCCGAACCTTCAAGACTGCCGAGGCATCGAGAACAGATGTCCTCTCTGACATACACGCAAACTCCAGCCCGAGGCACAAAGGAGTGCTCCAATTTGTACCCCGGGTAGGAGAGATACGAAGTATCAGCCGGAGAGGACATCTGCGTCTCGGTCAGAAAGAGCAAGGCCGGCTTCGCCGTCTCGAGATGGTAGTGGACGGCGTTTAGGTTCGAGTGAAGTCCCCTGATGTTGCAGACATTCACGATTACATCAAAGATTCACATTTTTTTTAATATGTGATGGTCGAGAATCTCTCAATCCTGGAGTCGAGAAGTTGCCGATATTTTTCTACCTTGCCCTATAAAAACTTAAAGTCGTGGGTTTCACGCCTAATCTCTCTCCGGTCGCGGTGAATTATCGTTTCATCGGAATTTGAGAGCGAGGGTATAGAAAGTGTTTGTGCATACACTTGTGTACTATAATATATTAGGCCTTAGTGATCAGTCTTCAATGAGACTAACTACGGTCTGAAAGACTTCTGAAAGGGTCGCTGCCATTTTTGAAAAAATGGAGCAAGATCGGCATATTAGTAGTTACGATATAACAGAGGAATTGAGGATTGACCACATAATAGTTTTGACCAATTTGAAAAAGTCTGGCTGTACAAAAATTTAACCGAACCATTTTTGAAAAGATTGATCACTGGTGATGAAAAGTGGATCACTTATTACAAGAACGTGCGAAAAAGATCGTGGTCAAAGGGTAGTAAAGGTCAAGCTCCACTGTATATAGCGAAACCCGGATTAACATGCAATAAGGCTGTGTGTATGGCGGGATTGAAAGGACATCGTTTATTATTCTATATGCAATTTTGCGTTTATTATTCTATTAGTTTACTTATTATATAAGTTTAAAAGAAGGTATGCAAATTCAGTTTTTAAACACAATGTCATCCAGATGACCACCATCACGGCGCTGGCATTCGTGTATGCGCGCCCTAAAATTTTCCATTACACACCTGCAGTTTGCTTGTGGAATCGCTGCGATTTCCTGGCGGATGATTTGTTTTAATTGAGCCGTAGTCCTAGGATTATTTGCATAAATACGGCTCTTGAGATAGCCCTACAAGAAATGATCCGCTGGGCTTCAAGACGGCCAGTCAATGTTACCCCTTCGATAAGAGAAATGACTTTTCTTGGGAACATTTCACGAACTGATGTTTGATGAGTGACAAGTTGCCCCGTCTTTTGTGGGTAATTCCATGACATGGTTTCAAGCAGCACTGCTAGCGCTGAGGTCAAACTTGGTGAACTCGAAGCTAGTTGGAGACTGCGTGAACCGTCCACAAACGCCAGGGATGTAACAACAAGGCTCAAAGAGTACGCAATTTGGACCCGAGCCATTTTGTGGAATCTCAAAAAGGACATAATTAATGGACAAAACAAACAAACAAAAGTATTTATGTGCGGTTGTCGTTTTTATTTCGTCGTCCAACAATCATTAATTAAATTAGGCTTTATCCTACTGCATCATGCAAATGATGACGATATATCTATTATTATCACGCGACATATATCGATACTGTTTTAAAGTATCGATACAATATATATCGATATTTTTTTCACTTGCCCGTCCCTACTGAAATGGCGCGTACCGAGATAGCGACTGCCGCGGCCCTCGTCATTCCCCCTTCACGCATTCACAAGTTATAAAGGAAGCAAAAATAAAATTTACTCCGGGTCATCCTGCATTATTTTATGGTCCCACAGCATCGCCTTACAATTAAGTGGACAGTGTGTTCGTTTGTCATCATTATTCTACAAAAACAAAAAATCTTACCCCCCCTGTCACACACTCGTCGAGTGGAATGGAAATTACCGATGAAAAGAGGCAGAGACGTAGTGTGGCCACAATACTCGTCATGCCCATCGCTCCTCGTTTTGTCGGTTTTTTGGGCGCCAGTCAAAGGACTGGCAATATGAGCGCGAGTGGTCGGCCACTAACTCACGCAAACGTAGTCCGAATCGAGCGCTCGTTACGGAAATGTCGTTGTATTGCGATGAATAGATGTCATCCACCATCTCTATTGGCGAGGATGAAGACCTATTTTTTTATGACATTGTTATAATTAGCTATACTAAATATGCATATAGTGCTCATGCTGCCAAAGGTTCATTAACCATTGTGTACCAAACGCGAGCCACCTAGTACGGAGCGTTGCGCATTAATTGCGCGAGTAGAGCAGAGTATGGGCAGAGAGGGCAACATCGCGGCAACGTGAGGAACAGCGCGAGGAGCACAGTGTGGCTGAGCCATTATGTGCGTATCAACAAGTGTGAGTGAATAATGAATGAGGGTGAGCGAGTAGTGAGTATTGAGTAGTGAGTACTGACACTGGGTGCAGTAGCTGCCGGTGTAGCCGGGCGGGCAGCGGCAGTAGCCGTCGTTGGGGCGGCAGGCGGCGCCGCGCGCGCAGCGGCACGGCTGCGAGCAGCCCGCGCCCCACCAGCCCGCGCCGCACGCCTCCGCGCACCCCGCGCCGCGCCAGCCCGGCAGGCACTGGCACTCGCCTGCCGCGCAACCACACCAATGCAACAGTCGCACACACATAACGATACGGAACTACCCTAATCGATGCTGATATCGATCATAACCAATTGTGAAAACAATCGATTATTATATATATTATATAAGTGCATTATATTAAAGTTGGCAAAAAATTACTTCGCATATCTTCGCGCTCGATAAAGTAAAATGATGTGACCACCGACGACAATACAATACTTGTATTGTCGTCGGTGGTGTGTCTTTCCTAGTATAGTGGTGTTGGTAGTAGTGGTGCTGGGATTAGTGGTGACGGTGATAGTGCACGCAATTAAGGGAGGGCTCTTCAAACTAGGTAAGACACATCATTTTATTTTATCGAGCAGATGTACGCGAAGTAATTTTTTGCCAACTTTAATAAATTATTAATTAATTATCAAAATAATCGATTATTCGACAAATCCGTATCCTATAAAACTGTACAAACGGTACTATATTAATATACACGGTAGATTTACCGTGTAGTGACGGTAAAAAATATCTACTACCCCATATCATCCCGAGATTGTCATAAGAGGCTACAGAAGGAAAAAAAAAGAGATAAGCAACAGCGTCTTCCTAATAACGATTAAAAATAAAAAACACTGTGGTTTCCAACCCACTTGCCAACTGTAGCAACTATGGCTAATATCCTCCTTATGAGGTAATCTAATTGGGGAGGCCCATGCTCAGCAGTAAACTCTAATAGGCTATAACGGTAACGGTAACTGTATAAAGTTGGACCAAAAAACTGCAAATGAGTTCATATGAAATAATGTTCTTACAATTTACAGACATTTGGTACGACTTAGCAAGATTTCAATAATTTATTACAAATTTATATTTTAATAAATTAGTTTATTTGTTAAGTTTTATTCATATTATTGTGCACTACCTGGGTAGGAAACCACTCTCTTAATTATTTATGCCACTAAAAAGCAGTGCCTGCACTACTGTGTTTCAACCTGAAAGTAAAGAAAGCCAGCAAATACAGGCCGTATGACATTACATCTTATTCTTCAAAGGAGATCACACATCTGTAACCTTCCTCGTGAGAATTGCGTCCATGCAATCTCAATCAAAAGCAAATCAAATGGACTAAAAGATCGTTTCCCAATTCACTTCAATAAAAATTCAGTAATGAATAATAATGTAAAATAATTAGCAACTTCACTACTAATCATCATAGTCTGTACTGACACTACCGCACATATTATATGCACCTAAAACCACGCTAACCGTAGTAAATTTTAGGTACATTTTATGTGTACGTGAATACGTGTTCCTACAATAAGTTGAGGATAGTTTAGGCTAAGTATCTGCGTCATTTGAAATGTACGCTGTACTCTTTGTGTGAGTGTCTTCTTTCTTTATTAACCTGAGGTTACGATAAAACATTTAATACGGATGGGATGAAAAAAAAACTTTTTAATAAGAATTTGTTTACTAAAGCCAATAGAACAAGTTACGATAATACTCTGTTTGCTATAATCTACAAAATGTTCAAGTTTTTTTTTTTCTCTTTTGTTTCTCTTTTTTAGCAAGTGTAGTTAAATTTTACTTACCAGTGACATGATGACAGTCAGCCCCATTCTTACAATTGCACTTTTGTTCGCAATTTAGCCCATAAGTGCCCAGCGGGCATGGATACTCGCATGTGACACCTGTATAACCGTTGGGGCAGGTGTATTTGCCAGTTACGGGGTCGCATGTTGTGTTACCTGAAAATTAAACAAACATATCAGCACAAAACAGGTTTGCATAACAAAGATGATGATTACATAATCCTCTACTATACAATGATTATGAAACAAACTAGCAGTAATTCAGTAAGCCGTTCACTGTAATTCATTTTGTAACCTAACCACTGTTAAACACTGTTGGACTAGGTAAGTATTTAATATCACACAGTATTGGAGTTTTAATACACTTTATACATTAAAATGATCGTGTAATACAATTTGTAATTTGTTCGTCATGTTATTATGAGGTTTTATGGTGATAATTTGCTGTAGATCGACTTGTATTGCTTTCACAGAGAGTTTGCTTTTTTTTAAAATTATTTCAGAAGTCTTCAACAATTTTTTTAACTCAATTAGGTATTTATTTTTCATCAATCTATAGTATTTTTATTAATTAAAATATAATAAAGATGATTACATGTTGAAAGATGTTTATATACATTCTCATTCAGACATTCATTCATTAAATCAAACTTAGTTTAGAATATCACAAAACTTGAAGCTTTAGAAGCGTTAGAACACAACTAAAGAAGAATCTGACATTGATTTGTTAACAAATGTTATTTATAATATTTTGAATGGAGTTTATACACCAGACCAATAAAGACGGTAAAGTACGTTCCGCTACGTACATTAGTATTGACGTAGAACCAAGTTAAAATCATGCTCAAGTTACTGCTAGGAAATGCATTCAAGCAAACATATGCATCTAAAAACATTTGCGTCCCAGTGAACTTTCATGGGGTGTTAAAAGATAGAAAGAAGAAAGTTGTGTGCGTGAACGCGTGTGAAGAAGTTGAGTATGATTTAGGCATCACTAGAAATAAACGTGGTGTTCTGTGTATGTTTCCTTGTTGGTCTGAGGTTTATATCAACAGTGCTAGTATCGCCAATTACCATCAGCCGACTCGGGGCAGAGCTGCGCACAGCCGGCGCCGTAGCGGCCGGGCTCGCAGGGCTGGTCGCAGTGCGGCCCGCTCCAGCCCGCCGCGCACTGGCAGCGGCCCGTCTCCGCGTCGCACGACGAGTTGTTCGCGCACGGACACCGCTCCGAGCACTGCTCACCGTACAGACCCGACGCGCACTGGCTCTCACATCGAACGCCTGCAAACCCTTACTCGTATATATAATAATAAAAACATATAAATGACACGAACTCAAAGTTTAAGATAATGACTGTGTACATGCTTCTGAAAAACAGATAGACTGGGCGCCCGGCATAACACTATCTAACAAGTTTCTGAATCTGCAGTCAATAATGAAAGCGTCATGTTGTACTAACAAATGGACTGCTTTATCTATATTTAAGAATTTGTGTTGTGGAACTCAGTAACCTGTATACTGGTCGAGAAAATAAACTTTGTTTTGTACTTTTATTTTAAAACTCCAATAAATAGTAAAACTATTATTTATTGGAGTAATTATTATTCATCACTAATCATCGCAAGCGAATAATACTCGTAATATTAAATGAAATGCCTTTTTTGTAATGTTATGAAGAAATATTACAAAATGGCCATTTTAGAAAAGAATAAAATCAGAAAATTTATCAGATGCGATAACTGCGATAGTCCATTAAGTATCATAATATAGTTAACATTACAAATTCAAAGTTACTAATTCTAAAGGTTCCTTTGTTCAATAGTTCACTAGAAACTGTTGAACAAAGTCTTTCCCTTCTACGTGGCAACCATGCAAGGCGTGGTTGACCACCGAATATTTAAAATTAGGTATTATGACCACATATTTAAAATATATATTCATTTTCTAAAAAAATAATATCGTTGTGGGCTCATTATCAGTATTTTACAAAATGTATTCAAAGAGGATGCGTTAGTTACCCAGTACACTTTTGCTCGTATTATTATTACGGAGACACAAACGGAGAAGACTCTGGATGCGACCGTTTTTTAAAGCCAGAGAGCTTACATTCATCTAGACGACATTTTAAATAGCGGTCGTTGGAGCGGGCGGGTTCTTAAATAATCAAGCAGCTCGATCTATGTCGACTAATACATTCCACCGTCGTTGGATTGGTGTATTTGTTATTTGTTTATTTATCCGACATTATTCCGAAGATATCCCGGACGTCAGTCTAAGCGAGATTGGAATGGCTCTCCATTACCTTAAAAACGGCAAGACCGCAGGCGAGGATGGAATTACAACGGAGCTTCTGAAAGCGGGTGGAAGACCGGTACTTGAAGTCCTTCAGAAGCTTTTTAATTCCGTCCTCCATGGTGGCATTACACCGGAGGCGTGGAGCAGAAGTGCGGTGGTCTTGTTTTTCAGGAAAGGTGACAACGCTCTCTTGAAGAACTACAGACCGATTTCCCTTCTGTGCCGCGTCTACGTGCTGTTTTCGATAGTCATTACGAATCGTCTCGCGCGCAGACTTGACGACTTCCAGCCTCCCGAACAAGCCGGTATCCGAAAGGGCTTTAGCACCATAGATCACATACATACCCTTCGGCAAATTGTACAGAAGTCCGAAGAGTACAATTTGCCAGTATGTCTGGCGTATGTGGACTGTGAGAAAGCCTTTGATTCCGTCGAAATTTGGGCGGTGCTGCAGTCCCTTCAGCGGTGCTAAGTTGACTGTCGGTATATAAGTGCTGAAGTGTTTGTACAGTAGAGCTACGATGCCTATCCGAGTACAGAACCAGAGTACGAAACCTATCCAATTGCAGAGAGGTGTAAGACAGGGTGATGTTATATCCCCGAAACTCTTCACCGCTGCATTGGAAGACGTTTTCAAGCTTCTGGACTGGAAAGGATACGGTATTAACATCAATGGCGAGTACATCACTCACCTTCGATTTGCCGACGATATAGTCCTGATGGCAAAATCGCTGGAGGACCTAAGCACCATGCTCAATGACCTCAATAGTTTCTCCCAACGAATAGGTCTTAGGATGAACATGGACAAAACAAAGATCATATTTAATGTCCATGTCACACCTATGCCGGTAGTTGTTGTGAGCACTAAGCTCGAAGTTGTTGACGAGTATGTTTACCTGGGACAAATAGTCCGACTAGGTAAGTCCAACGTCGACCGAGAGGTCAATCGACGGATTCAACTCGGCTGGGCAGCGTTCGGGAAACTACGACACATCTTCTCGTCAGACATACCTCAAAACCTTAAAACGAAATTGTACAACCAGTGCGTGTTGCCAGTGATGACTTACGGATCTGAAACGTGGTCCTTCACTGCTGGCCGTATGAGGAAGCTCAAGGTCGCTCAGCGAGCTATGGAGAGGGCTATGCTCGGGGTTTCTCTGCGTGATAAACTCAGAAATGAGGATATCCGCAGTAGAATCAGAGTAACTGACATAGCCTAACGGATTAGTAAGCTGAAGTGGCAGTGGGCCGGCCATATAGCTCGAAGAACCGACAACCGATGGGGAAGAAAGGTTTTTGAGTGGCAGCCTCGTACCGGTAGGCGAAGTGTAGGGCGACCCCCCACGAGATAGAGTGACGACCTGGTAAGACATGCAGGAAGTCGATGGATGCAGGTGGCTCAGGACCGTGCTTGGTGGCATTCCTTGGGGAAGGCCTATGTTCAGTAGTGGACTTATGAAAGGCTGTAATGATGATGATGATGATTTGTTTATTTAAACTTTTATTTTAGAGTTGCATAAATTAAATTAATCATGAATTAAACAAGTCCAATTTTTCAATACTTTTTCTGAATCCCAATACGGCGAAGTTGCGAGTCAGTTTAGAAGATACCAGATTGTCTAATGGTAGTATAGAGTCATTTCAACTATTTGAAAAGTAATTAACTTCAGACTAAAAAAATGACAAACTCGAAATAATTATTTATAAACAAAAATGCAAGGAATAACATTTTTACGAAAAATTAAAAACACAACCAATTGGTATAACTTTATGTTCATTGATGAAACATGGCCAAACGCTAACCACACTATGGCGCAGACATGGACAGATGACACGTGTCCTTGGTAAAAGGTGGGCACCTCATACTTTGTCATGTGGGATCCGCCGGAGGAGGATTTGTAGAAAATACAGCTATTGCACAAGGGATGACTGGGTCAAAGTGATGGTTTTACAAATAAATTGTTATGGACGACTATGAAAGACATTTATTTTGAATGCATTATAGAAAATCAAATAATAATTAAAGTAAACAACGATGATGACGACGACAGATCAATTAGTTGTAATGATTAAATAAAATTGTTTTTAATCTAAACTAGCACTAGTCTATGATTTATAAAATTATATCTCTAGAAAGAACAATGGCAGACTTTCATACATAAAATTAGTTGAGAAGAAATGGTAGCGTCTATATATCAAAAATATCTTAAAATGTTAAGCGTCAGTCCCTTATAAACTCTGTCAAAGAATCACGTCCTCAGAAGGCGTCAAAAAAAAAGATATTTACATTTGAACCTTTTAGCTTATATCGTATGTCACTTGGAAAATGTCATGCTTCCTGTGGTTGTTTGATGTTAGCTTAATACATAATTGAGAGTTTTTAGATTATTGTATCTCTATTATATATTTGCATACTATAAATGTATATTTCTGGCATGGCTCCAGAGCCTTTGTATAATAGTGACATTCTCAGAAGGGCAAGAACCTAGAGCCGTAAAGCCAGTAAAAAAACAGTGACATTTTGTTTTAGCTAGTGTTGGCATAACCTTAAATGGAATTGTTACATAGTACTATGATTGAGATAATGTACTGTTGTAGGAAATTCTTTGTAAGAGACTTATTCTCAGCCATATCACTTTTATTTTTATTATTACTGATAGTACAGTTATTACTAATGATAACTTAATATAAAAATATTTTGTGTATTGTGTGGGTAGTCTTACAAAGTATATACGAAAATAGTATGAATATACTAGACGGCAACACTTGAATAGAGTAAAATGATTTAAGTCATTTGATATTCTCAAAAATGTTTGTTTTTTTCTGTGGCTTTTATTAAAATACATTTTTATTTGAAAAATCATAGAAAAATAATAAAACTCATTTTATATATAACTTATTTCTAGATGCGATAATTTTTGTCAACTATTTTTCTGCCATTGCTCTTTGTATATTAGTATTTTGTAAGCAATAAATATGAAGAAACTGATAAATTTCGTGTTTTGAGTTATCTGTTTCTAATTTATTATTTAGTATTAACCTAGATAACACTGTAAATGATTACCAACTTCAAAGAATCGATATCAATTTCTCTTAAAAAACGAGATATTTTAGGTACCGATTTTTCAGTTGGAATGCCTAGTCTAATAAATGTGACAGTTGTCAAAAAGTATTTCTTAGATTTGGTGGAGTATAAAAATACTGTTACTTACTAACGACACAATTTACAATGACGGCTCCGTGATGCAGCGACTTAGCAAAGAGTTGCGGCGCTGAAGTCCGCGAGTTCAAATCCCGCATAGAAGAAGTATGACCTACAAATAATTCTTCCGGATCTAGATGTTTGTCCTTGTGAAATTTATGTATGTAAACTGCCTCAAACGATACAGGAGTAAATCCTAGTGTAAGGGTAACGTTTGTAACATAGATAAACAAACAAAGAAATATATATAATTTCTTTATCTGCTAACTGAGCAGTTTGGCAGACTGTAAAATTTTAATAGTCTAAATTTCAAATATGTTAAATAATAAATATTATGTACAGTTATATATTGTTACAATAATTATTTCATTTTTTTTTAATTTTATTTATGAATAATCTAGTTCCATATTTTTTATGTAAAGAAAATTGTAATGTTAAAATATATACTCAATATGTAATAAAACAAAATCATCATTTATTGAAAAATTATTTTATCTTGTCATTGATAAGGCAGGTATCCCGACAAAAAGCTTTTCAAATAAATTTTCTTATTCTCAAGAGTTATTTTCCACACAATGGATTTTGTTTGTAAGATAGACTTCTTTTTATCTACTACTGTTACGATCGCATTTGCATGTCTGTCTTCAAAGCCTCGAAGAGTTTCTATTACGTACATTAAAATTATACTAGTGTCCAAACGACCACCTTTTACTTCCCACGAAAAACAATTATTAAAAGTTCTATTAACAATCTCATCGCTTGTTTTCAACTCAATGTTATTATT